GGCTGTCGCTGGGCCTCCCTCCTGGGGCTCCCCCAAGGGACAGCAGGCGCCCTGAGCTGAGGAGCAGGGAGTCTGTGCGTCCGGCCCAGTCCCAGACACAGCAGGGCGGCACGGGCGCCCGTCACAGGACAGCCAGCCGGGCGGCGCCTGGGCTGCTCCGTCAGGGCAGTGGGAGGGCCAGGCTGCAGGGACCTGAGGCCGCTGCAGCCCTGTGAGGGAGCGGCCACCCCATGTGGGGGACCAGCGCAGGGCACGACTGCTGCCCCAGGGACTGAGGTGACCTGTGTGGGCGCGGGGAGGCCTGGCGCAGCAGGACCAGCCAGACTCCGTCCTCCGCGAGCTGGCAGGGGAACGCGGCCCCGCAGGGTGCTGGGCGGCCGGGTGGGTGGGGCCAGAGCACAAGCTCAGAGGCAGGGACAAGGCACGTGGACTCACGGGTCATCCCCGGGGCAGGGCCGCTCGTCCCTGCCGGACGCCTGTCTCGAGGCCTCCTTTTCTCGCTGCTTCTTCTCCTTCTTCTCCTTCTTCGAGAGGGTCCTCCGGAAGTTCTGGATGACACCCTCTCGCTCCTGCTTCTCGGGCCCGTTACTCTGAACCTTCTGGTGAAAATGATAGCGTCAGCCCGCTGGCCGCCGCCAGCCCAGCCGTCCGCTGCGGCTGGACACGGAGAGGCGAGGCGTCCTGACCGGGGTGGACGTGCCTCTCTGCACCAGCGGCCGTGTGCCCGAGGCGGGCCTGGCGGCACGGGGCTCCCTGCACCGAGCCCGCTGGCGAGGCTGCAGAGAAGGGGGCGGACAGCGCCCATCAGGGGCGTGGCAGAGGAGGGGGCGAGGCGCTCGGCGGTGCTCAGGTCCCGGCCGCCCCGGCACACGTGGAGGACCCTGCAGCAGAGTGGCCGCCAGCACCGCCGAGGGCGCCCAGGGCACGCCCGCCGGGCCGGCTGCTTCGGCCTCCTGCCTGAGCGCGGGGGCATGCGGGGGGCTGGCCGCCGGCCCTAGCTGCGGTGTGGGAAGGAAGGGGGAAGGAAGGCGCGGCGGGGGGCTGCAGCAGCCGGACCACGGGCCGCACACCCAGCTGAGGGCTTGAGAGCGTTTCGAGGAAATACCTCACCCTAGCTGTCTCTCGGCAGTCAGGGGGACGTCCTCGCCCGCCTGCCCGCCCACTCTGCCTGGGCCCCATCCAGCCAGCAGGCCCGGAGGGACCGCGGCTGGGCCGGCCACGCACCTTGGCAGGAGCAGCGTCGTTCTCGTTCTTGAGGACAAATCTGCCCTCCCGATCATCTTTATTCCAGTTCAGCTGCACAACTAAGGGCTTCTCGTCTGTGTCCAATCTTCTTTCTTCTTCAAAACACGACACAACAAAACATTAAGTCTTGGTTATTTAACGCCGTCAGCGAAACACGCCGGCACTGCCGTGGCACACCGCAGGCCCCACCGCGGGCACACGCCGGTGGGGACACAGCGGACTCCGGGAAGAGGCCTGGCACCGGCGCGCGCCCGTGTCCGGGACCGAGCTGGGCCCCACGCAGCACAGACGCCTGGGAACCGGGGTGGTGGGCCGTGGGCTGTGCGTGGCGAGCCCACGTCCGGGAACCCACCATCGCACCAGCCAGTGGCCGGACGGACAGGGGCGTTCCCGGGCACACAGCACTGGCAGCAGCAGAGCCTTCGCGTGTCCTGAAGTGGCCACTGCCCCATCCTGTGCCGGCACTCCTGACCCGGCCTCGGAAGGCACTGCCTGGCAGGGGAGCCCTCCCTGGAAGCCGAGGGCGCCCCCTGCGGGGCGGGGCTGCTGCGGGCTGCCTTCGTGGGACACCCCCTCAGAGCCACGAGGCCCTGGGCCTCACGCTCCGGCTTCCTGCGGCGGCCTCACGGCCTCGTCGCCTCTGTCCCCTGCCATGGCCACCTGCTCACCGCGGGAGGCACGTCCTCTGGGCTCTTGGCCACCCCGCCAGAGGCAACCGGCAGCCCCGCGCTTCCCTTCGCTGACCGGCCGAACCCTGTGCAGCACCGGTCAGAGCAGGGCGCCGGCGCTCGAGGGTGCCGCAGCAGCAGGCCCGCCCCGGCCGTCCTGTTAAGGCCCACAGCCTCCCGGCCACCCCTCGCTGGCACGGTGGGTGGCCGGGGCTGCGCAGCAGCCCCCGAGAGGCAGAGGGCAGCGCAGGGCACGCGCAGCGGCCCACCAGGCCCCAGTCAC